AACTTTATTGATAGTGATAGCAAAGGCTAGACGAATAGACGAAAGCACTGCAATTGCTTGAATTCAAATCAAGTTTAGGACAGATTCGGAGGGATTCGAGGAATGAGGATGTTTTCACATTTTTTGCGTGTAAAGTTTTCTATAATTCTTTGGTTCGTTCAACGCTAGAGTATGCTAACTTAATTTGGAATCCAATTTATTCTACATTCATACCTCTAGACTTGAAACCGGCCAACGTGGGTTTATTCGTTTTGCTCTTACTCCGCTTCATTTCTCTGATACCCTAACTTCTTATACTTCTCGATATATGCAAATAAATCTGAAATCTCCTGCTCTTCGACGATCTATCCAGTCATTACTATGTATTTTTGAGATCATCAAAGGTTTAGTGGACTGTCTAAAGCTGCTTGAGCAAACAGGGTTTAATGTTCCCCTAAGAAATTTGTGTCCTCATTAAACGTTCTTTTTAGATGCAATTAAAGCCAATTATCATAATTACGATCCGTTTGTTAGAGCAATCTTTGAATTTAATAGAATCCCTAAAAACCTTGGTTTTGATGTCACATACCCGAGGTCTCGTTTTGGTTCTATCTTTAATGCTTTTTATTCCTAGCTTACTTTCATAGCATTAAGTTTTTAATTAATTTGTCTTTAAGATTTGTAAATCGTTAACTGAATAAATAAATTGAATTGAATTGAAAACCAAGTTTTCTCAGTATAGGTCGCTCGCAAGTCCACTTCACGGAGAAGAGAGCAGTCTTCCTACTAAGCTAAGTAAAAAGCGACCGATATACCGAATATTAAGAACATCGGAGTATAATAAAAATTTTTTCAAATAGGTATCTCGTTCAGTTCTAGATAAATTTATTGGGCATTAACCTTTTTATGAACAATAGAAAATATCTGGCGAAATTTCAAACTAATCGGTCAATAACTCTTCGAGATATGCATTTTACAGGACTCTACTTTAACATATATAATTTATTATTTACAATTTTTCAGTTTTTAGTTTACTGAATTTCTAATAATTTTCAAAAAAAAAATTAAAATGTATTTAAAATAAAATGATAATAAATTTATCTTAATATACTTGTATTTGTATTCATATAAAGAGCTACTTATACACATACTCGTATTTACAAACAGACATTAGATTTGGTATATATTGGATGTGTGCATAAGTTCGTGCCCGATTCCGCTCTATGTCGTTCGAATCGTTTGAGAGTGGCGCTCGTGAAAGAAATATATACATATTATATATCGTTGGAAAGGTGACAGTCCGAACTGTAAATCAAGCATAAAATAACTTCATTTTGATTAGAGTTGCTTAGTGAAAAGACGCATGGAAGATGGACAACGAAAAAGATCATATGCGTCATATTATGTTATACGAATTCCGCAAAGGAAAAACAGTAGGCGCTGCAACTAAAGATATTCGCGAAGTTTATTTGGACCGTGCTCCAGCACTCCGCACAGTAAAGAAATGGTTCGCGAAATTTCGGTCTGGAGATTTTAACCTCGAAGATCATGACAACGCCAGGCCACATGTTGCAAAACCGACCCTGGCCAAACTGAAGGAGATGAATTGGGAAATCATGCCGCATCCTCCATATTCACCCGTCATTGCACCTTCTGATTATCATTTGTTTCGATCGCTACAGAACAATTTGAATGGAAAAAAATTTAAAAATGTGGAAGACGTCAAAACCACCTTGACAACTTTTTCAAAGAGAAACCGCGCGATTTCTATGAATCAGGCATCCGTAAATTGGTTGAACGTTGGGAGTGGATTGCCGAACATGATAGCGAATACATAATTGATTAATAAAAGCGCTTTCTTCAAAAAATTTCAATTTTAGTTTGCACTTGAAATCGGGCACGAACTTATGCACTTATCCAATATATGTACTTGTATATACATACAGTATGTCAATTAATTGTTTGCAAAATTAAAATATCAAACAAATTCTTTTTTCAACTTGATTTTTATAAACTAAAACAATTTTCTTTTACTTCATTTTTTTAAATAAAATTAGTCTGCGTCTGAATCTTAACATAAATAATGCACACTAATTCCAGAATTCCAGACATAAAAGTAAAAGAGATATAAAAATTAAAAAGACAGCAAATATTACGGTGTCAATTAATTGTTTGCGTTTTGTAAACAACTAATGCAAAAATAATTAAAACGGGAAAATATAGCAGTGTTGGTACTAATGTTTGGTATGATGGCCACTTGCATCTATAACAGCTGGAAGACGAAGGGGCATGGACTGAAAAAATTCTCAGGTATTTGGTTCCACTTTACCTGAATAAGCTTAATTAAAGCATTTTTATTAGCTAAGCCCCGTTTGCCCACTCGCTTCTTTAAAGAAGCCCATACATTTTCTATGGGGTTTAAGTCAGGGCTCTGAGCAGGAGTGTCAATCAATTTACTGCAATTATATAGTAGCCACGTCCTGTTCAGCAATGATTTATGTTTGGTATCGTTGTCCTGGCACAGTTCCTAACTTAATTTATAAGAGTTTTCATGGTCAACCAATCTAAATGTTCTCGCACTCATTGCAAATTCGGCGCTCACCAACACCTTTTGACGAAATGCAGTCCCAAACCATTACAGAAAGCTTGCCAAATTTTACTGTTGGAACTACATTTTTCGGTTGCAAAGCTGTGTTGGGTTTCTCCAAACTTTACCGGGTTCATCATGATGGTATAACATTATTGATGACTCGTCGCAAGAGACTTCATCAAAGTATTCCGCAGTCCTGTAAACGTTGGTAAGAGAAAAGTTGAGCCGCTTCTCAATATTAACTACCGACTAATGGTTTCTTTCTAGAGATTTGCGAGGAGTGCTTGTATATTTTTAAGACTTAAGACTTGACTTAATATCTAACGCCAATATTCTCAGGGTGGTTTGAAATTACCACTGATCTGCTTTAACATTTTTGAAGGATCGCGTCTAGAAGGCTTCGGTGGTCTACCTCCAGAGTGCTTCAACTCCAACTTCCTCTAATTCCTCAGCCGATTTCCCTTTGTGTTGGTTCAAATAAACTAATTGAATATGATTTTCATTACTTCGGTTGCCAGTCGCTAAGCCAACAAGATCTGAGCTGTCCAATGTATTAATCGCATGGAATGTAATAGAGCAACGCACAGCTAAGACGCACGCGTTCACTCGTCTTCAAATTTGTGGTACCGTTAAGTTATCTAGGTTTTATTTTGAAATGTGAGGGCATTTTGCGAATTTTATATTAGTTATTTTTTTACCGTTCGGCTTTGATGTTTGTTATTTCTGCTTTCTGCGACTGATATTTGTTAAGAACACTTAGGTTAACATTACCAATTAATAAAAAAAGGAAAATAAAATACTTTAATTTAAAAAATAAATTTTGGAAATATTGGGTTGCCCAAAAAGTAATTGCGGATTTTTCATATAGTCGGCGTTGACAAATTTTTTCAATGGCTTGTGACTCTATAATTGCATTGTTTCTTCTGTCAGTTATCAGCTGTTACTTTTAGCTTGCTTTAGAAAAAAAGTGCGCGAAATTTTGTTTACATTTGTTTGTTTGGCGTCAATTTTAATATGGAGCCCACAAAGGAGCATTTTCTTCATAATTTACTTTATTACAATATTTCCGTAAAAGAAAAAACGCGGAGCAGGTTGCTAAAAAGTTACGAGATGTGTATGGTATTGAAGCCTTAAAAGGAAGATAGTGTCAAAATTGGTTTCGCAAATTCCGTTCTGGAGATTTTTCACTTAAAGATGAGCCACGTTCAGGTCGGCCAAATGAAGTTGATGATGACCAAATCAAAGCATTAATCGAATGGGATCGTCATGTAACTGAGCGTGAGATAGGAGAGAAGTTAAATATACCAAAATCAACCGTTCATTATCACATAAAAAGTCTTGGACTGGTGAAAAAGCTCGATATTTGGGTACCACATGTATTGAAAGAAATTCATTTAACACACCGAATCAACGCTTGTGATATGCACCTTAAACGCAATGAATTCGATCCGTTTTTAAAACGAATCATAACTGGAGATGAAAAATGGATTGTTTACAACAACGTTAGTCGAAAACGATCAGGGTCCAAGCATGGTGAACCAGCTCAAACCACTTCAAAGGTTGATATCCACCAAAAGAAGGTTATGCTGTCTGTTTGGTGGGATTGGAAGGGTGTCGTATATTTTGAGCTGCTTCCAAGGAACCAAGCGACTAATTTAGATGTCCACTATGAGCAGTGGGACAAATTGAATACAGCCATCCAGGAGAAGCGACCAGAATTGGTCAATCGTAAAGGTGTCATATTCCACAAGGACAACGTTAGATCGCACACCTTTGGTCACTCGCCAAAAACTGAGTGAGCTTGGCTGGGAACTTTTGATGCATCCACCATATAGCCCTGACCTTGCACCATCAGACTACCATTTATTTCGATCTTTGCAGAACTCCTTAAATGGTAAAACTTTCGGCAATGATGGGGCTTGGTTCAGTTTTTTGCAGATAAAGGCCAGAAGTTCTATGAGCGTGGAATAATAAATTTGCCAGGAAGATGGCAAAAGGTTATCGAACAAAATGGCAATTATATATTTGATTAAAGTTCATTCTAAAAATGCATTTACTTTCTTTTAAAAAATCCGCAATTACTTTTTGGGCAACCCAATAGATTTTTGAGATTTTTTCATTTTGTAAACAATTACTTAATTGTATATATGTATATACAAATGTATATATTCAGATTCACCTTACAGATTAGCGAAATCATGAAATTGTGTTTTAAAAATGAAAAAATAATGAAATTCTGCTATAACTTACAAATTACTTTTTATCTGATGAACACAAAAGATGTGGAATATTTTGAAAATGTTAAAAATACAGAATATTTTATCAACCTGCCTCGTATCCGCAACCAGCAAACACCTAAATCACTTCATGCCACAAAAAAAAAGTTAATAAGCAAACTAAAGTAAATTCTTGTGAAATGAAACTGCATAAATATTGGCTTTCTCCACAAAAGCGAGACATTCATTTTATTCAAATATTTCATATAACTTTATTTTTTTTTTATAAAAGTATATATGTAAGTATGAGGGAATATATACAAAAGAAATTATTAAACAAAAATGAACGTGTGCACTCGGAGCGTGAAAGAGAAAGTGTGATATGTATTTACGTATTTTACAAAAACAAAATCAAATAGAAAATAAAAACTTTACACATTTATTCAACCGCGATAAAACAACATACAGACATACATATAGAGTGAAGAAATATAAATTTAAGAGAATAGAACAAACAATGTGCGAACCGACAAGTTCAACAAAAAAATGAAAGCAACCACAAACGCATAAATAAAGAGATATAAAAAGGTATTTGAGAATTATGAAAAGCAATGAAAACTGAAAACTGAAAATGCAAAAAAGCAAAAAATTTCATTTCAATTAAAAAACAGAATTAAATGCAAATTGCAGCGGATGCTGAGCGGCGTGTAGTGGAAATCGAAAAGCAATTCGAAAGGAATGCGCGAAACCGCCAAATGAACTCGACCGCAATGCACACATACGTGTGGCTGCATGTATGTACGTGTATGTATGTAAGGGATGTGGTATGCGCAGATTTCATGGACAGAGCTCAGCTTGCGCACTTCCTGGTCCATTGTAATTTTCCGCTTCACAAGCAAATGTATGTAAAGTGCAGTGCAGTGCATACTTTAGGGCGTTGTGGCTTACACTGCATATATATTTATATACGTATGTATGTATGCAAAATACATTGGAAAACCACATCCTCGGCTACAGTGGTCGCTTTTGTTCACGTGAATTGTTATTGTTATTGTCTTAACTAAAACAAGGTGTTCACTGTGGGCGCTGTTGTTGTTGTTGTTGTTGATGTTTGTTATGTGGCTTTATTTTTACACGCAAAATATAATGCCAAAGTTATTTACAAATTATGCATGCATATTTTTACAACATTTTTCCACGCTACAAGCTGCGCTGAGTGCTGAACCCACGTGGGGCACTGGGCCCACGCTTTCGTTGACCCTTTTTAACTTTCACATTTTTTCAGCGGCTTTATTTATATTTCTTAGTATTTATGTATGCATGCTGTGAGTGTGTGTTTGTGTTGTTGTTGTTGTTGTTGTTGTTCTATTTTAATTGCTATTCATTGTTTGTTGCTTGTCGCTGATTTCGTTGTTGTTGTTGTTGTTGTCACAACACTGTGGTTTCACATGTTGTTGTGTTTGTTTTTGTTGTAGAATAAAATTGACTTTCCTGCTGTTTGTCTACATAATAGTGTAATATTTGAATTACATCTTTTGCTGTTGTTGTTGTTGTTTTTGTTTTTTTTTTGTTTTTTTTTTTTTATTTTCTTCTTTTCTTATTTATTTCTTGTTCTTATGCTGTTGTTTATTTTTATTATTATTATTAATATTATTAATATTTAGTATCATCTTGTTGGCGTTGACGTCGGCGTCGGAGTTGGCATTTTCTAATGATTGCAACCATAACAACCTGCATCGCGCCCTACGCCCACAACCAGTGCTGCTGCTAACTCACTCACTCCTAAACTCTTTCTCTATCTAATTTCAGCGATTGTTGATTTGCTTGTTTAGTAACCGTAATGCACGCCATGACCGGCAACGGCGGTATGCACTAGAGCGGGTGCGGCGACGGCTCTGTGGGCGGAAGTGGAGAAATGAAAATTTATAAAATTAAAAGTAATAAAGAGTACACACATTTTTTTATATTGACATATTTGGCAATTTACTATCACTCATTTGCTGAGTTTTTTTCTATATAAGATAATGTGATATTAATTAATTTTACTTTATTTCATTATCATTTATTTTTATTTTACTTAATTTTGTAGCAAATTTATTTATTTTATTTTAATTAAATTTACATTAGAGTTGTATATTCTTTCATTTTATTCTATTTTATTTTACTTTATTTTATTTTATTTATTATTTTTTATTTAAATTTATTTTAATTCATTTTTTTTAAACTTTATTTTATTTTAATTTATTTATTTTTTTTCTATTATTTAGATATATTTAAAATTCTTTTAATTTATTTTTTTATTTTAGTTTATTTTATTTTACTTTATTTCTTTATTAAAATTTTATTTATTTTTTTAAATTAAATTATTTTAATGCATATCATTTGTTACTTAAATTTTTAATATTTTTTATAAAATGTTACTTTTTTATTTGATTTTAATTTAAAGATTTGAGTTCTTTTTATTATTAAATTTTAATTTATTGTTTTCGGTTTTTTATTTTTATTTATGTTAATACTTTAATTTTATATTATTTTATTTACTCATAATTTTGTCTATTTTTTATATATTTTATTTTGCTTTTATTATTGTAATTGATTTATTTTTTATTATATTTAATTTTGTTTTAAATGGTTTCATTTAATTTTATGTGGTTTTCTTTAATTTAAAGATAATTTATTTTTCCTTATTTTGTGTTTTTTTTTATATCTAATTTTATTTTATTTCTTTTATTTTATGTTATTTTGCTTTATCTTTATAAATGTTATTTTAATTATGTTAATTTATTTTTATTCATTTTATATTATTTTAAGAATTTTGTTTAATTTTTTTTATTTTATTACGTTTCATGTTATTTAATTTAATTTTTTTTATTTGTTTTATTTTATTATACTTTATTTTGTTTTACTATTTAAATTTTTTTATTTTATTTTATTTTATTTCATTTCTCTTTTTTTCACCATAAGGGTATACATCAAGTATAGGTTGTTTTACAACAAAATACTTAAAACTATTGTTTTTATACATTGAATTGTTTATCATTTGTTAATGTTTAAAATATATACGGTTTAAAATGGATACAAAACATTTTGATTACAGGCCCATTAGAAATAGTTGATAATAATTAGTTTAAATTTAAAAATTTCCTAATTATAGTTTTTGTTGATAATATAATAGCCTTTTGTATCGTATGCCGTTTTTCCATCATTTCAAGTTTGTCAAGACTTTTGTTTAGAGTTTTTGGGATAACACCGGTAGATGATACGATAATTGGAATTATCTCCACATTTTGCAACCTCCACATGTCCTTGATTTCATAGGCTAAGGAGTGATATTTTTTGCACTTCTCTGTATAGCATTCTTGTAGATTGTGAGTGTTTGGTACACCTATGTCTATTAGCAGCGCCCGTTTTTCTCGCTTTTCGATTAAAAGTATGTCAGGCCTATTGTGTGCAGTAGGATGATCTGTCAATATTGATCGATCCCAGTAAATCTTTGTTAAACTGCTCTCTAGTACTGCTTGTGGCGTGTATTTGAAATACGGACGTTCTTCCGTAATTAGGCCATATCTTAGTGCTAAGCATTGGTGCACAATTTTAGCGACGTGGTTATGTCTTGTCAGGTATTCGGTAGCTGCTAGTGGAGCACATGCACCGGTGATATGGTGAATCGTTTCTGGTTGTTTTTGACATCGTCGGCATAGGTCGTTTTCGATGGCGGCGCGTATAACATACTTCTTATAATTTTTAGTTGCAATAACTTGGTCCTGTATAGCGCACATAAAACCTTCGGTTTCAGAGAAAATTCCTGGTCTGCGTAGCCAATCGTTGGCTGCTTTTGTGTCTATTACCGGTTGATCAATGGCGTAGAGGTGATTTGCGCGGATCGATTTAATTTTCCATTGCAGTAGTAATGAGTGAAAGTGCTGCGCGTCTGGTGGTATAAGGTTCGTTGAAGTATCACTAAATTTAATGGGGTGTACTTTAGATCCGATTGACATACGACTTTGTGGAGCTGATTTTGTTGCTCGTGGAAGCACAGCCGAAGGTTTTGTACACACTTTTGATGTATATGCGTGATGTCTACCATGCCGCGCCTTCATTGTCTTCGCGGTAGGTAGACGCGTTCTACGGCTGACTTGGGATGGTGTATTCCGAACTTAGTTAGTAGCGTCCTTGTAGTATCTTTAATTTATTTTATTTTATTTATTTTTATGTCTTTGCTTACTTTGTTTAAGATTATTTTATTTACTGTTTTATTAATTATTTTATTTTCCTTAAAGTTATTTTATATTATTTTTTTAGTTTTTGTTAATTTATTTTATGTTATTTTTTTGTTTTGTTTGGTTTTATTCTATTTTATTCGTTTTAATATTTTAGTTTATTTTACTTAATTTGTTTTATTTTATGTTATTTTAGTTTTTTAATTTAATTTTTTAACATTCTATTAAAAGTAGCTTTTACGATGCTTATAATATTAACGCAACTCGGAAAAGTTTATATTAGGTTAATGAGAATAATAATAAAACTAACTGTAATTATACTACCTTAATTCTCATTTATTTTGTGCATTTTTTGTTTTTCGCTATCTCACAATTACTTACTTCACAGCTAGCGGTGCTGGGTAATGCGCCAAGGCTGGTGCTGCAATGGGATAGCCGTGTCCGACGAGTCCTAGTCGCACATAGTTGCGTGAGTGAAGTTTGAAATATAGAAAAAAGTGCAAGAGAGATGAAAAAATATTTAATAAATTTTTAAGCGAAATGTCAAGCTGAAATAAGCAAATTATGTAAACACACAAAGGATTGCATTTTGCTGGTGGCGCATACCAATATTTTTCTCTTTAAATTTTATAAATGGTTTCAAGATTTAATTAATTATTAGTTGCTGTAGTTATTAAATTATAAATAATTTTAACATAAAAAACAACTCTTTTTAAAGCGTTTTTTTATAAATAAATTAGTCACTTTAATATTTTTTTTTTATTCTAGAACTTTGCGCCCAAATGTATGCTAATTGTTCTTTTGATTAAAGTATGAATAGCGTTCATAATATTAAGTATGGTAATAGTATATACTCGTATATAATTGGCGCTCCTCCTCAAATTTGTGGTTTGGCGTCTTGATGTTCTTCCAACAATTGGAGGGACCTACAGTTTATACTAAGCCGCCTCCTAACGGCGAGGATGGTTTTTTATGAGGAGCTTTGTTTTATGTCCGAAATACACTCTTTCCAGCACTAAGCTAAAGGGAATATCTCATGAGGGGGTCTCTGCTCCTGTGATATCATCTTCACAAGCGAGATAAGGTTAAATTAGCCGAGTACAATGCCTAAACAGAACAAAACGAGATTTCAATATGCTTCGCGCACCAAGCCATACGAAGATGGATGCACATGGAGCTGTAAAAAAATCTTAGGCGATTCGTTAAGTAGATCAAAAGATTAACTCGGATAAGCAGGGGAGCGCAATGCACGCATTTAAGTCCCGCCCGGGGGTGGAGCCAATTTAAAAAAAAAAAGCTATGCTTAAATAAATGAGATCAGAATTATTGAGAGACTTGAAAAAATAATATAATAAAAAAAAATATTTTTTATATTTTAACATAACAAATGAAATATCGTGCTCTTGCCGTGAACATTTTTAAAATCAGAATTTAATAGAATTCGTTTACCAAATTAAACTTCCCCACATTTTCAACCAATTCCATTTCCATTTTAATCTTTAAAGCTCCATTTGGCTTACGGCTTACATAAATGCCAGTTAAAAGCTCATTAGCTGACTTAAGGGCGTCTAAGTAAAAATTTAGCTGCATAACTCGCTTAATAAGCGAAATGAAGTGCACAGAACTGCCGGTTTTCGTTGCTTACATATCTACATTTGTACACCACACCTGCACATACATATATTATAATATCTCACTTTATTATCACCAAACTCGATTTACATTATTTCTCCCGCTTAAGTAAATTGTTAAGCGGAAAAATTTTCCAAGTAACGGTAAACATTTTACAACATCCTCCAAACAAGATAAAATTGGCAAAGCTGCTTTATCTTGCTGTCTTACATTGTGCATACGAGTATCTACATATCCGAGACACAGCAGTACCACGAACTGGCTAGCATATTCCTCAGATCTCCTTCAACGCGGCTGCTACTTTATTACGCCGGCGTTAATGGCTTGTTGTGGTAATTAAAGTCGGCATACTTAAGCGTCATCTTCACTTCGGCACTTAACCACTCGGACGGAGTGTCTATGCACTTCATGTCGTCGTGCGGTCGTGCCGTCGTGCCGTCGTGTCTCTCATTAGTGTGCTCACCTGCTTACCTGCGAGTCAACAATGTAGCGCTCTGTCTGCCGCCCGTATGTTGCGCGGCTAAGAGTGCGGCTGTCGTTAAATTGTCGTAAAAGGTATTATTCTGCATATGGTGTTTTGTAGAATTGCAAATTTATTGTGTATATTTGTTTGCCTGCTACTTAAGGCATTTAACTTTACAGCTACAGCTTTATTGTTGCACAATGAGATTACTTGCTCTAAGTGTCTTCCGCTACTTTGTTTTGTTTTGTTATTATTTTCTTTTCTAGTAACAAAAAAAATTGGAATTAAAGTTTTTTTTTTAATTTGTATTTGTAATTAAAATGGATTAAAAGTCAACAAGCTTCCTGGTATAAATATTAATTTTTGCGCAAAACTTTGTATTCTGAGACGGCCTCTCCGAAATTTGAGATTTTTAAGATAACGAGTATAAGCTCCGGGTCCAATATATAGTCTGATGTTGGCGCCTTTTTTGAGGAAAAAAGTGAAATACTACGTTCAATTCAAACCGAGACATCTAAAAATTTTAGAATTCAGATTTCAAGAAGCCCCTAGATAAGTGACGCTCACGATAAACTCCACTGAACAAAATTTTTAATAAAGTACTTAAATATGCCTCGTTTGGCTTGACAAGAGTGGGGCCTTGGCAATTTCAGGCTTATTTACCCAAAATGGGACCGAAAGCGGAGGTAGAAGAAATGATATTTTTTAGGCATGTTTATGGCGTTTAACTCATAGAGGTTTTTGGAACATCAAAGTTCGGAACCTGAGAATTTTAAAGCTTTCTGGCTTACCCGGTTATCTCTTAACCAGTTTTTCACTGCAATTAAAAGTCTAGTGATAGATAGAGCTGGGTAAATTTGAAGTCAGTCATTCCTAAAGGAGAAGTTTCCATAGTAGTAAAGAGAATGAGAAATGCGAAGTGACCCCCGAGGATGTGAAGAACATCAACTCCCAGTGGTCAAAAGAAAAAAACCGTTAGTCACAGGTAAATATTTACACAACTCCTTTAAGATGACCAAATAAGTTTAAATTTTCATATCTCAGCTTTGTGCCCAGTGAACGTGTAATGAAATACACTTAATTTGAGGAAGAACCTGTCTCAGTCGTTAGATATTTAGCCAAGGTAAGAAACGTCATACTGAGCAATACACAAAGAGAAACAAGTTTAAGCCGAGCTCCAACTCACTAAATGTGCTGGGAAAGCACTGAGTTCAATAAAAATAGATAAGCGACTCCAGCCAATATTTTCCACTCTCTCTTTCACACAACATGTTCACTCCCAAGCTCATCGATTGCTGTTGTCCTGTAAAGAATATGTTATCGTAGCTAAGCTTTGGACTAGCGAAAAGCAATAAGAGATCGTCTCTATAGCATTACTCTGGCTGTTGGAATCTGTTGAACCCTTTTCGTTCTATGCAATCTTTGTTTGATGGAGCCTGTGCAGTCACGAAGCTAGCATAAGCACCATGGACAGCTCCCAACACTCTTCAAATTTGGATATTCGAAGACTGCTTAGAGCTTGTCATTTACTTTTGAGAATACGAATAGTTAAATTTCTGGATTGACTCGCTCAGTTTATCTAAAAGCATCACTCGGTCGGTGGAGGTTTATTGTCTTATGGAAAGCTCTGCGTAGGTTTCGAATCAATAGACCGAATGCGAGTTTGTTGCGACTTTGGAAGAACTTGAGAAGTTTTAAATATTAATATTATATTTCTCCAAAGGAATCTGAGTATATCAAATCGCACTGGAATCTTTGGCGATCGAAACGATAATCTTTTTAGATACTTCTGATCTGAGATACGGAAAGGTTCAATCCAGTATAATCTGTAGCGTATGGGTCGGGAAAAACCTATTGCAGATATTCACCTGAGAAAAGTATGGAACGATTATTTTACATAAGTTCACGACGTCCGGTCTCAGACTTAGTATACCCTGAGTAAACAACAAAAATCCATTTGGAGCTCTTTTCTGATGGATTCCTCGATGGAAGTTAAAGCTCATGTCACCGCCGTCCAAGGCATACAATAAATGAGGACCGGACAGAAGACGGTGGAGCTTTGAGAAAATTACTACAGCTTATTTAGCTGCTTAGGTGGGAGAGAGACTCTGCAGAAGCGTTTTGGTGGAACAATGTTCGTCCGAAATAGGGCGAAGTTATTCAAGGTACCGCTGACTTTCAGCCACACTCCGACGAAAAACAAGACGAGACACCTATGACTGTTGCTCCCTTCATGATGGGTGTCATTTTTTAACACCAGCCTGAGCGAAGAACATATTTTCGTCACAAAAGGTGGAAAATTTAACCCGAAATGAATGGATGCTGATTGAGTTAGACAGCGCTTGAAATAAGGTTTTCTATAGCACCAGAAGAAGAACAACTAAGGCGGAAATCATTCCAAGCAACGCCACTTGAATCATGGGAAATTCATTGGAAATCTAAAAATATAGAACTTTCAGTGCAAAATAAACTATTTCCAGCTTTACCGAGTAATCTAAACTGAAAATAAAGGTAATAAAGGCTGCTACTATTTCTTCTTCTTCTTCTTCTACTTCTTCTTCTTCTTATTCACAGCAACTTTCTCCCACGTGTAAATCTTAAGATGCATCTGTTCACGCATTAAGCACACAACTGCAAGTGTATGTGTTTGTGCGTTTGTGTAACAAGAGACACCCGCGCACTTGACTCCGAACAATGCGCTAAGCGAGTGGAATGCAATTTACAGCATTCGCGAACGTGTAACCTGATGCATATAAATGGACAGAGTCCTGAGATCTGAGATCTGAGCTCTGAGACGTCGGGCAGAGCGCAAAGTGTGTGTGCGGCGTGCTAAAGACACAGCGCCGCAGCATCTCAACCATCATCAGCATCATCATCATCATCATTTACACATTCTCTTATGTACTTATGGGATTTCACCTTTTACATATTTGAGCAAATGGAATTTTCTATTGTCATACTTACACGTATACGTAGGTATGTGCCTACCTATGTGTGTGTGTGTGTATGTGCATGCAATGCCTACACGCAAAGAAATTAAATGAGAAATGCGAGGGGGCGTCGAGAGGGAAATCAATGAAGAAAGCAATAATGGAGATCAGATTTCAGTTGCATTCACTTACAACAAATACCAAGGTGTGTATGTATGTATGTATACAAAAATATATATATAAAGCTTTGTTTGTGGCGTAGATATGAGCACATATGTACATACTTATGCATTGTATATATTCATACTACACAAAGAGTGAATAGTGGCAAAGCCATAAATCAATGCAGTGCAAAGTAAAGTGGCGAATAGTCATTGGATTTATGACAACTTGGATACACACATACATACAATATACTCGTATGCA